ATTTATAATCCTTTGGATATATACCCAGTAATGGGATTCCTGGGTCAAATGGAATTTCTATTTCTAGGTCCTTGAGAAATTGCCACACTGTCTTCCACAGTGGTTGAACTAATTTACACTCCCACTAACAGTGTAAAAGTGTTCCTATTTCTCCGCATCCTCTCCACCATCTGTTGTCTCCAGATTTTTTAGTGATCGCCATTCTAACTGGCGTGAGATGGTATCTCAATGTAGTTTTGATCTGCATTTCTCTCATGGCCAGTGATGATGAGCATTTTTTAATGTATTTTGTTGGCCTCATATATGTCTTCTTTTGAAAAGTGTCTGTTTATATCCTTTGCCCACTTTTGAATGGATTTGTTTTTTTCTTGTAAATCTGTTTTAGTTCTTTGTAGATTTTGGATATAAGTCCTTTGTCAGATGGGTAGATTGCAAAAGTTTTCTCCCATTCTGTTGGTTGCCAGTTCACTCTAATGATTGTTTCTTTTGCTGTGCAGAAGCTGTGGGTTTAATTAGATCCCATTTGTCTATTTTGGCTTTTGTTACCAATGCGTTTGGTGTTGTAGTCATGAAGTCCTTGCTTGTGCCTATGTCCTGAATGGTTTTCCCTAGGTTTTCTTCTAGGGTTTTTCTGGTGTTAGGTCTTATGTTTGTCTTTAATCCATCTGGAGTTAATTTTAGTGTAAGGTGTCAGGAAGGGGTCCAGTTTCTGCTTTCTGCACATGACTAGCCATTTTTCCCAACACCGTTTATTAAACAGGGAATCCTTTCCCCATTGCTTGTTTTTGTCAGGTTTGTTAAAGATCAGATGGTTATAGATGTGTGGCGTTGCCTCTGAGGCCTCTGTTTTGTTCCATTGGTCTGTATCTCTGTTTTGGTACCAGTACCATGCTGTTTTGATTACTGTAGCCGTGTAGTATAGTTTGTCCATCATGATCAAGTAGGCTTCATCCTGGGGATGCAAGTCTGGTTCAACATATGCAAGTCTATAAATGTAATTCACCACATAAACAGAACCAAAGACAAAAACCACATGATTACCTCAATAGATGGAGAGAAGGCCTTTGACAAAATTCAACAGCCCTTTATGCTAAAAACCCTCAATAAACTAGGTATTAACAAAACATACCTCAAAATAATAAAAGCTATTATGACAAACCCACAGCCAATATCATACTGAATGGGCAAAAACTGGAAGCAATCCCTTTGAAATCTGGCAATAGACAAGGATGCCCTCTCTTACCACTCCTATTCAATATAGTACTGGAAGTTCTAGCCAGAGCAGCCAGGCAAGAAAAAGAAATAAAGGGTATTCAGTTAGGAAAGGAGGAAGTCAAATTGTCTCTATTTGCAGATGACATGATTGTATAGTTAGAAGACCCCATCGTCTCAGCCCAAAAGCTCCTTAAACTGATAGGTAACTTCAGCAAAATCTCAGGATACAAAATCAATGTGCAAAAATCATAAGCATTCCTATACACCAATAACAGACTTAAAGAGAGCCAAATCAAGAACGAACTGCCATTCACAATTGCTACAAAGAGAATAAAATACCTAGGAATACAACTAACAAAGGATGTAAAGGACCTCTTCAAGGAGAACTACAAACCACTGCTCAAGGAAATAAGAGAGTACACAAACAGATGGAGAAACATTCCATGCTCATGGTTAGGAAGAATCAATATCGTGAAAATGGCCATACTGCCCAAAGTAATTTATAGATTCAACGCTATCCCCATCAAGCTACCAATGACCTTTTTCACAGAACAAGAAAAAACCGCCTTAAACTTCATATGGAACCAAAAGAGAGGCTGCATAGCCAAGTCAATTCTAAGCAAAAAGAACAAAGCTAGAGGCATCATGCTACCTGACTTAGTCTCTTTTTAAGGAAGAAGAAAAACTTGACCCTGAAAATCCTTCCAACAGATATCCCATCTGTTCTGTTTTTTACCACCAAATATTTTCAGTACAGATTTATATGGTGGTGTTTTTCCAAATCCTCAATTACACCTCTGCCTCTTGCAACTGGCTTTCCGTAGTCCTTACTAACAAAGTCACTCTCGCCAAGTTTTTTGTGACATAATTGCCAGATCCAGTGATCTTTGGTCAGCCTTATCCTACTTAATTTCTCCACGGATTTGGCTTTTCTTTCTTCAATTTAATGTAAGAAATGTTTATTGAATATATGTTGAATGCCCTGCATTCTACTGGGCAGTGAGGATATATGACATATGTAAAAGCCATGTGCAACAAATAATATATCACAAGTACTATCAAACAGAGTACAGTATTTTTTTAGGGCTGCAAACAACAACAACAACACAACAGTTCTTCTGAAGCAGGAGGAGGGACAGTATCAGGGAAAATAAGAAGGCAACATAAAATAATAAAGGCAATGCCTAAGATACAAGCCGGTACCATTACCTACAGCACAGAAAGCATCAAAATGCTTGCTATTTTTAAAAATTAGCAATTAGTCTAATATGGCAAAAGTGAGGGAGTATTAAAGCAGATAAGGAAGTGTTACAATAGACCAGGCAAGATATAATGAAGTCCTAACTAGGCCAGTGTAGCTGGAATGCAAAGAGGGGAGGGTAGACGTGAGATTACTGGAGAAATATTTAGAGGTAGAATCAGCAAGGCTGTGCCTGATTTATTAGTGAAGGTGGAGTCATGGGGGAATGGTAAGTTCTATTCTGGACATAGCATAGTGTTTAATGCTGTGGGACATTCATATAAGGAAATTTAGTAGGCAGTTGGATATGTGGATCCAGAGGTTAGGAGTGTGATTAAGGCTGCAGATAAAATTGGGGGTGGTAATTGAAATCATGAAAAGGATAAGATATGGTAAAGATATGGACAGTTTAGAGAGGAGAGAAGCTCAAGGGACCTGATAGGCTCTGAATCTTTAAGAAGTAGAGGAACTAAGTTGCCTGTTTTGATAAAGGGGCCATGGTGAAGTGTGTTTAGAGTGGTCAAATTTTGAAACAGTGAATATGGGCTTATGGTATTATTTTTCTTGTGGTTTCTTAGTCTTTGGCCATCAGCTGACCTAACTCTACCAGATCTTTACTTGTCTGTGGCATTGCTGCTTCTCCAGCATCAGTATCAACTTCATGAAATCCTACCTATTTTGCAGAATGTGTGACGTTACTTTGCGTTGTTTTTGCATTGTGTTAGGGGATATATCCTACCATCAGCAAGAGGCCAGCAGAATAAAGATGGTGATATATTAGGGATAGTTCAAGGATTTGATTGTACATTTGTGTGTGCAAAATCCACCTTGTGTAGTTTACATTTTAGTGGAGAGAGAGAATATATCCGTCCATTGAGGATAAATATAATGGAGGAAAATAAAGCAAGATAAGGGGGAAGCAGAAAAGCTGAGCGGAGACTTAAAAGGAGAGATAACAATCACGTGAATAGCCACAGGAAAAACATTTCATTCCAAAAGGAATAAGCACAGAGACCCTGAAGGAGGATTGTTCCTTGGCCTATTCCAGGAATAGCAAATGAGCCAGTGATGCTGGGGTAAAGTGAGCACAGGCATAGTGCTAGATGAAGACAGAAGTTAGTAGGGATAGGGGGCTGATCATGGAGGGCAAATTCTCAGCCAGTTAGACTCAGCTCTGTCATTTTATGACAATGTTATAATACCGGCTTTATTGAAATATAATTTGTAGATGATATATAACTTCTTTATGATTTTTAAAATAGAACATGAGTACATTAACTAAAGGAAAGGTACTTATAATCAAATATGTTTTTCAGTATGTGAATATTCAGACAGGACAATACAGGAAGACAAAAATGCCCTGTAAAGCTACTCTAGGGAGCCTGCCTGCTTCCTGAGAACAAGTGGTAATGGGCCCTGTTAGGCCTTCGTTAGGCTTTTACTCTGACTGGGGAGGCCACTGCAGGGCTTCGAGCATAGGAGTAGTATAACCTGACTAATATTTTGAAAGAATGCTACTATCTCCTGTGGAAAGTGAGGCTGTGGCTGGTCGGGGCAGAAAACAGGGAGACCAGTTAAAAAAAACTACCCCAAAATCCAAAGGCAAGACGTTAAATTGAACCACCACAATAAAGGATGTCCGAAGTGGTTGAATTCTGGATGTATATAGAAGGTACAAGATTTGATGATGGATTGGATATAAAGTGTAAAATAAAGAGGAGTCAAGGGAAACTCCAGATTTTCGCCTGAGCAGCTGTAAGGGTGGGATTGCGATTAAGAGAGACTATAAGGATTCATTGAGGGAGGGGAGGCCACGAGTTTCCTTTTGGATATATTAAGTTTGGGGTATCTGTTAGATGTCCTGGGAGAAGAGATGTCAAGTTGAAGGTTGTATATACAAGTCTCTAGAAATCAGGGGAGGTCCAGGCTAAAGATACCAATTTGAGAATTGTCATATTTGTAAGCGGTGGGGTTATACAGAAGCTATACTACCAGTGATTCTTCAGTGGAGATGAGATTTTTATTTTCAATAATCTGGGGAATTAATTTAAGATGTTTAAAATATTAATGTAGATTATAAGACTTTAGATTTAGAAGATTCCGTCCCTGTCACTTCCTTTTGTTTCCTCTCCAGTACCCAACCAAGTGCAATTTACTTACATATCTAATACAGTTTGCTGAATAAAAAAAGAAATACCTCTTGAATTTAGCACTAGAGGTCCAGGTCTTTTGAGTTAATAACAAAGAAGAGTTGAAATCTCTTAACCTAATTTAAGGCTTTGAGTAATGTTAACTTATTTAGTTTTAAATTTAAAATTTTTAAATTTTTAATAAAGTCAGTATTTTGAAAAGAAAATTTTTAAAATATTTTAACCTCTAACACTAATTGTATACATTAATTTTATTAATCTTTATTAGAATTATTCATATGATACTGTTATAACCGTAAAATAGGTATTAAAGATAGCTAGCTGGCTTTAATGTGGCTCCTAAAATAAAATAATCACTTATCAGATCTTTAATATTTATTTGGTATTCTTTTTAGGAAGATTTGGAGACTGGAGTTCACCTTGACCCTGCTGTCAAGGAAGTTCAGTATAACCCTACCTACGAGACCATGTTTGCTCCTGAGGTAAGAAAACATATTTAAGGTTTTGACTTTTGCTAAAGAATTTAAATCATAGTAGATAATTAGACATAGCAGTGAATTTTTAAAGGCTTTCTCACATAAGCATACTATTTAAGCTCTTAGAAACTATATTCTTCTATTCTCCAAAAGTTTAAATAGTGTGCTTTTGTGAGAATACTTTTAAAAATCCACTAGCTGCTTATCTGCCTGCATACAAATGTCTGATAAATGGAACTATGTCTTTTGAAAAAGGAAATCTGATTCTTAAATATGAACTTAGTTGACATCTTCCTCTCAGTCTTGATGAGGGAATATTATAATTAACCATAAAGGAAAATAGTGGGGCTTATCAGCATCAATGTGTAGTATATTATGAAACATCTAGTTACAGATGCCCCTGAAATGTCATACTGACACACTGCTGGAAAGTAGTCACAGTGTTTGATGCCTGCTCTGAATAACAAAGTACTGGATTTTTTCTCTCTTCCGATGAAAAAAAAACAAACAGTGAATATTGTTCATTTAAGAAAGCATTTGAATATTAGCGATTTAGGGAAGTTTGTAGAAAAGATTAAATTTCCAGATATTTTGCCTTTTAAAATGGAAAAGAATGATGCTTGATTGACAAAACAGAGATGCCAGAAAACGATAATAATAAAACCAAGAAATACAGCTTTGGTCAGTAGCAGAATCTTAACAAGCACTTTCAAGATGGAGGTGAGGAGCTATATCTTATGGTATCTTGGTGGAAAATGGCATGCCTTTTAACATTTTTCATTTTGTTGCATAAATTAGCCCTTTTGTGACATGTGAATGTCATAGAGCTGTTTCATATAGTACTTGCCCTGCCTAGGTTTCTGTAGTCATTTAAAAGGTGACCATTGAAATGTGTAGCACAGCCAGAAATGTCAGTGCTTGTATTTAGACAGAGCTCCAGCGATTCACTGGGTCCGCACTTAGCAAAAATCTTCCCATGCTCTGACACTACAGTACATTTTAAATTTTATTCCATATGTCTAAAATCCTTCTAGCCTGTCAGACTACAGGCTGTCTCGTAACCATTGGCACCATTTTAGCCAGCCCATTGAAGAGAGGTTGTATATTATATATAAATATATGCTTCATGATTTCTTAAAAATGAAAAGTACTTTAATAAAATGAAGCCACTGAATTAGGAAAACAAGAAAATTTGTAAGCATTGTGATGTGTAACATTCTGATGTCTTTATTTTCTCTGAAGCTTGCTTTTTTTCTTAAGTTCCTAAAGTTCATTTGTTACTAATACATTGCTGTGTAATTAGTTTTCAAAACTTTCAAGAAAAATTTAAAAGTTCTGTTAAAATTGTTCGTGTTGATATTAACAAGAGGCCTGCCATTCTCTTTGTGGGATTTTCAGTCCTTTTATGTTGTTTTTTGTCCTCGTGTTGGGGAACCTCATATTAAATATATAAATTAGTTTATGTGAGGAGCACTACAATACTTCTTTACAATATGAGAAAGTACTGATAGGACATAAAAGGGAATCAAAATATAATTTTTCCCGGTTGCCAAATGAATCCTCTGTACCTTAACAAATTTTGAACTTTTGTCTTCTATGACTAGGATGTGTATCACTTGGCAAAGTCTGGAAAAGTATCACTAGGAATTTCACGAGTTTAAATGTAAAGTTCCTGTATCTTGAGTATCCGTTGTTACAAACAAGATATAATCCCTCTCCTCAAGCTAATGTTTACCAGAGGGGATATGCTAAGTGTTTGTTTGTTTGTTTGGTCAAATGTATTTTTCTAAAAAGATAGAGATGAGATTATTTCCTATTATGCCTCTGAAGTACTACTCAAGCCTAAGGAAAAATTGCATCTGGTTGTAAATGCTTTTAAAAGTTTCTGGAAAGAAGTACTATTTGAAATGGACAATTTAATCCAGGTTAAGAACATGAGATGTGGAGTTAAATGGAATACTTATTAACTCTTGGGTAACCTTGGAAGCTCTTAGTTTTTTTGTAGGTAAAATGAAGATAATTTTTATTTTATTGAGTTATAAGGATAAATCAGATAATGTATGATATAGTTAGAAAAACGTCTGGCACAGAGTAGGCATTTAACAAATGGTGTCATCATTGTTATTGGTATTATTAATTATTGGCATTGGTGGCTAGGTAGGCGTTTATGTGGAAAGATTCCAAGAAGAGAACAGAATGAGCCAAATCATAAAAGATCTAAAGAACAAGAGTGCCTGAGTCCTTACCAGAAGAAAGAATCGAGAGATAAGACTAGAATGGTATTTTGTATTATATTTCACAAAGCTTTTGGGGCCAAAGTAATTGGATTACAATTGTGGGATCGTGTCCCAGCACCTGGCTATTTGTCTTAACATAATGACCTCCAGGTTAATCTATGCCGTCAAAACTGACAAAATTTCCTTCTTTAAGGCAGAATAGTATGCTGCTGCGCAGACATACCACATTTTCTTTATGCATTCATACATTGACAGCCATTTAGGTTGATTCATGGGAATACAGATATTTCTTTAACATATTGATGTCATTTCCTTTGGACACATACCCACTTGTTAAATTGCTGGAGTCATATGGTGGTTCTATTTTTGATTTTTTTGAGGAACCTCCATACTATCTTCCATAGTAGCTATACTAATTTCCATACCCACCAACAGTGTGCAAGTGTTCTCTTTTCTCCAGAACATCCTTGCCAACACTTATTATCCTTTATCGTTTTTATAATAGCTGTTCTAACAGGTTTGAGATGATATCTTACTGTGATTTTAATTTCCAATTCTCTGGTGATTAGTAATGTGGTATACTTTCTCATATACCTGTTGGCTTTTTTTTTTTTTTTTTGAGTGGAGTCTTGCTCTGTCGCCTAGGCTAGAGTGCAGTGGTGTGATCTCAGCTCACTGCAACCTTTGTCTCCTGGGTTCAAGCGATTCTTCCACGGCAGCCACCTGAGTAGCTGGGACTACAGGTGCAGGCCACCATGCCTAGCTCATTTTTTGTATTTTTAGTAGAGATAGGTTTCACCACGTTGGCCAGGCTGGTCTTGAACTCCTGATCTCAAGTGATCTGCCTGCCTTGGCCTCCCAAAGTCCTGGGATTATACGTGTGAGCCACTACATCTGGCCCCTGTTGGCTATTTATGTATCTTTTGAGAAATGCTGAGAAATTCAGGTTTTTTGCCAATTTTTCATCGAGTTATTTATTTTCTTGCTATTGATTTACTTGTGTATTTTGGATATTAACCCTTTACCAGATGTATGGTTTGCAAACATTTTCTCACTTAAATGTGTATGTTTTATATAAGGAGATTGCAGTTGTAATTTACTATGTTGTGCTTCATTATTGTTTTAGCTAAAAATTGTTAAATACTCACATGAACTTGAATAAATTATGCATTCATGTTTATGTTATGTATTTACTTGTATATTGTTATAAATCACTTGAACACAAATTTACTCTTAAACTTAGTTAACTACCAAAAATTGAAAAGAAATGTTTGAAAATCAAATTTATGTGTTTTCTATGTGCTCTGTTGTATTTTTTAATGGTTGTCCCAGAATTAAGAGAGTTGCATATTCACAGGGACCAAGAACATCTGAGATATATCTTGAGTAATTGACAAGAGCTGAGTCCTGCTAAATAGTGTTCTCTCCCTTCCTCTGTTAATATTCAGCATCTTTGAGGTCAGTTCTAATAGCTACCAGTAGATGAATCCTCCTCCCACCAATTCCCTATATCACTAGAAGATTTTTTTGTTGCCTCAGCTTAAATCTGTATGAGACATAGGCACATGTAAATTTTTAGATTGCTTTACGTATAGCACCTTATGTAATGCATACATAGCTTTAATATATGGAGTTGTCTTTGTATAGAAATCACAGTTCTTTTACACTGATAATTTTTCTTTAAAAAGTGGAGCTCATTTTGTATGTATGGCCTGTAGAAGAATTGTTCTTTCTTTTTTAGTTAAATCTGAATTAAATAAGAATATGGAAATTGTAGTCTCCCTTTTTAAATGGAAAGTTACTTAAAGCACAGTGATTGGTCATCTGTTACATGTTATGTGAATAACAATAAAGACAGTGGGGATTTTTATCATTTTTAGATTTCCCACCATACCCCCTCCACCCCACCTCTGTCCCGAAATAGCAGATGCTACTCTGTGTATGATAGCTGACTGTAGCAGGTAGAGCTAGAAAACTTTTAAATCATTTTGTTATCTGTGATTTTATGACTGCTCCTGTTTTTGTAATAAATTTCATGACTGAATGAAGTTGACTGCTGCTTCCAGCATTCCGCAGTCTTTTTTTCCCCGACATTTTTCACCCATCATCAGACACAGGAAGGACTAATATGGACTGCAAAGTCTTGCACTATCCATTATAATTAAGAATATATAGTAATAAAAGCTTTGTATGTAAATCAGGTATTTTTAAATTGAATCATTTTAAACATATAAATGGAAGCTGTCAATATACAGGAATCTTGTAGCAATTTATTTTCTTCAAAAGCAGAAAAAATGTAAGGCACATCTAACATTTAAATTCAGATTTTTATACATAGTATAATGTTGATATCTCGAGAATGCAGTATTCTGGTTAAAAGAAGGTGAGTAGTTTTTATTTGTGGCTCTGGAAATGTATCATAGAAAAGATGGTTTCTAATGGTAATGACCTACAGTGTTCTAATGTCAAAATAATTCATCATGACGGTGGGTCTTATCAAGTTCAAATGAAAATAGCCTGTTATTTTCACCTTTTCCAAAGTGGGAAACTCATTTTATTCTTTATTTAAAAACAAACAAACAAACAAACAAAAAAGAGTTGGATTTTCCCAGTACCTTTTATAATAGCAGTGAATTAATGGCACTTGACATAATGTATTCTGGTAATTTTTTACCCAATTTTTAAAAGTTAGAGGCTCTGATTGTGCATTTAAGGAACTTTATGATAGAATGCTTGACTACGGTTTGTTCTAGCTCTGGTTCTGCCAGTTAATAAAACTTTTGACCCTAGGGCAGGTAAAATACATTGTCTTTGGGGGTTTTTTTTTTATTTGCAACATGAGAAAGAGAATACTCCTCTAACTTGCCAGGATTTTTGTACAGATCAAATTAAATAGCATTTGGAGAAACTCAAAAAAGTATTATAAACAGATGATAATGGTACTATTTGGTGTAAGACAAATAATGTGACTCTTCACAGTGTGACTTTTCAGAGTGGAAATATTTTATTGACATTTGCAGTACCTTTTCCTAGGCACTTTTTCAAGCACTTTATTCTGTTTTTCTGTCCTCTACCCCCAGTGGAATTCTGATTCATCGTTCCTTCATTAGTACTTTCTTTATGCCAGGCACTGTGGTAAATATTGAGTATTCTGAGTCTCCCACTTTGAGGAACTCATAAGCTAGTGGAAAAGAAACAAGTATTTTTTTTTTTTAATTATATCACAGTGCCACTGTTGATATAAAAGTCACCCAAATCCCCAAAATCACGGTTTGGACAAACTATAGTAACTCTCGATTATCTAGATAACACTGTGAAATAGAACTTCTGCAATAATGCAAATGTAGTAGCTGACAACCACATGTGGCTACTGAGCTCTTGAAAGAAATAACTGCAGATAGATTTGAGTGAGAGGGATTCCTCTCCTTCTGTCCCTGGGGCTAACAAATGGTGCTAATTAGCCATTGCCCAGTTGCACAGAACCATATCAGGCTAGAGTGTTCCCAGATAGGTTAATAGGCCCTTGGTGATTTATAGTTGAAAAACATATTATACAGTTATTCTAGTAATTCTGGCTTCCATATACTCAGAACTTTTGTCTCTTTTTTTTTTTTTTTTTCTCACAACATTGCAGTTTGGACCAGAAAATCCCTTTAGGACACAGCAAATGGCCGCCCCTAGAAATATGCTTTCTGGATATGCTGAACCAGCTCATATCAATGATTTCATGTTTGAGCAGCAAAGGAGAACTTTTGCAACATATGGTAATGTGACAAGACTTAAACAGTTTCAATTTTGGCTTTATTAGAAGTGTGATGTGTGTGTGCTAATCTGTTTTATCTTCTGGCTTTTGAAATTCATTAGATTCCTTCAAAAAGGATAGTATGCCTTCTTATACATATCCTTAAATATATATATAAATGGGAAGGTGAATTCATATTTTTAGCTGTCGTTGTAAATCTACTGGGACTTCTGAGTACTAGAAATATTCCATGATCTTAACCAGAATGCTCTTTGTTGTTGTACTAGGTAATGGACACTGTTATTTCATGTCCATTACATGTAAATTGCTGTTAAAGTTGGCAAATGAAAAGACAGTGTTCACAGGTTACTTTTTTATCTCTTTATAGGCTATTTAACTTTACTCTCTCAAATCTTATCTCAGAAATGCTTTCTCTTGATCACCGAAGGGTATTAGGAAAAAGAATAGTCACAAATTCATTGTGTAAAATAATTATATCCTATCAGTGGTAATGTATATGGAAACTAATTGTATAAAGGATTATCATGTATTAGATCATATTTCACCATGGTAAGATTGTAATAGACTTAGAATGTGCCAAAAATCACAGCCAAGACTATATACCACTTAAATCACCCAAAACAGTTCTGTAACACTTCCCATTCAATAAAATGATTGCAAATACATTGTACCCATTGCTTGTATAAGGAGTCCCATGTAAATCTAAAGTAAGATGTAGCACATAAAAATAAACTCTGTTGCATGATGATTTTGTTATATTCTAGCCTATAATAAAAGAGACTTTTAAAGACTTTTCTTATTTTCTTCTACATTAGAAGGACCTTAAGCAATAATTTAGTTCTCTTGTCTCTTAAAGTAAAACAAAATTCCAAGTAAGTTTATACTGACACCTACTTTCCTTTGTAAATTACCTTGTAACAAGAATAAGCATTTAAAATTATCCAGCTGGCTTTAGACCTGGTTTCAGAATTTTTTTTTAAAGCATCTGGTGATTTTTACCTTTCCCTCTAGGAAGGGGCAAGCTAGGACACAGGTTGAACTATTGAGCTAGAGACAAAAAATGAATTTGGGGCTATAGTACATTAGACAGCCTAAAATAAAGGGAATGGCCAGTTGCAAAAATGAAATTTTGGTTAATTTGAGTTTAGTAAGATTAAGATTTAAACTGAGGTTTAAAGAGACAATTTATTTATTAGGTTCAAGTAAACTTAATAAGTGAACTTAATAAATAAGATCAATCTTATCTAAGCTTTAACAACCGTCTCTTTAAACCTGAGTTTTAACAGCCGAGATCGCGCCATTGCACTCCAGCCTGGGTAACAAGAGTGAAACTCCGTCTCAAAAAAAAAAAAAAAAAAAAAAAACAGTGTCTCTTTTTTCTTTGCTTAGATACTGAGCCAAGTATATGACTTTTATTAGTTTGTCCTATGATTTTCTTATAGAAAGTTCTTACCTGACTTCTGATAGTAATTCCTATACCAACTTCCTATCAAATTTTGTTGTTGTTCTTGTTTTTTAACCCTTCCACATGAAATGTAAGGCTGTGAGACCTTTTTGTTACCTTTCCTCATTTGCAAAGTGCAAGGCAGCAAACCTCTGTTATACCATGTAGTGGTGTTATCTACCAGATATTCAGGAGGTGACACATGAATTCGGTTTTACCTCAGTCTCATAACCCTGGGATATCACTGCTGGAATATAGTGTAAACATTTATTTATTTTAATTTTCTTCCCATTTTTAAATGTTGTAAGATTGTTATAATCCCAATGAATTATTTCTGCAAGATTTCTGTAATACAGTTAGTTTATTATAGAGCCCACCTAGAGAATCCTTACCACTGAAAATAGTCTCATTTACCATGCCATCCCATTTACTTACGGTACAGTTTTGCTTTTAGATTGCATTTATAGTATTTCTCCTGACTTCTCAGTCCCTCAGTGGTTGTGTGAATTTTGTCCTGTTTTCCCTACCGGACCCTAGCCTGCTCCCCTGCCAGGCTTACTTGGGACTTCTCGATGAAGTTTCTTTTCTTTTGTTCCACTTTCATCTAGAATTTTCTCTATACCCACCTATAGAAGTGGAAAATAGAATTTTAAATAAATACTTTTAGTCTCACAATAGTCCTTATTAACATGAGTTTTAACTTCAGTATTTGAAACCCTTTATTAACATTGTTAAATGATTTTTAAAAATACTTTACTGAAGGCCGGGCGCGGTGGCTCAAGCCTGTAATCCCAGCACTTTGGGAGGCCGAGGCGGGTGGATCACGAGGTCAAGAGATCGAGACCATCCTGGTCAACATGGTGAAACCCCATCTCTACTAAAAATACAAAAAATCAGCTGGGCATGGTGGCGCGTGCCTGTAATCCCAGCTACTCAGGAGGCTGAGGCAGGAGAATTGCCTGAACCCAGGAGGCGGAGGTTGCGGTGAGCCGAGATCGCGCCATTGCACTCCAGCCTGGGTAACAAGAGCGAAACTCCGTCTCAAAAAAAAAAAAATATTAAAAAAATTAAAAAAAATAAAAAATAAAAATACTTTACTGAACAAATATAATTTTAAAAAGAATTACTTGTATCATTTAGATTTCAGTTTGGTTCCAGTTTTCACTATTAAAAATGTGATGTATATGTTATGCTACAAAATGCTTTTTAAAATGTGGTAGTGAATATTTTTGTACATAAAACTTCATAGTTTCTTTACATTATTTTCTTAAATGAGTTCCCAAAAGTAGATCAAAGAATGTATGTGTTAAAAACTTTTGTTGTATATTATTAAATTGTTTCCTAAAAGAATTCTCTCAACCTATTCTACTGCCACAGCATATAAAAGTCCTATTTCTCTCTTTCTTTCTTTTTTTTTTTTGAGACAGAGTCTTGCCCTGTCACCCAGGCTGGAGTGCAGTAGCGGGATCTCCACTCACTGCAACCTCTGCCTCTGGGATTCAGGTGATTCTCGTGCCTCAGCCCCCTGAGTAGCTGGTTACAGGCGTGAACGAACACGCCTAGCTAATTTTTCCCTCTTTTTTTGTATTTTTCATAGAGATGGGGCTTTACCATATTGGCCAGGCTGGTCTCAAACTCCTGGCCTCAAATAATCTGCCTGTCTTGGCCTCCCAAAGTGCTGGGATTACAGGCCTGACCCACCATGCCTGGCCCTATTTCTCTTTGTCAAAGATCCATATGGTTGTTTTTTCTTTGTTTACTTGATAATCAAAATATTATATTTCTTTATTGCAACTTAATTTTTCTGGACTACTAGTGAGGTTGAAGGTTTTTCTGTATATTTATGACCGTTCTTTTGCAAATTGTTTATAATCTCTTTTCATTTGCCTAGTGGAATTAGTTTTAATAATCTTAAGGATATAATAATAAAATCAATATTATAGTTATTTCAAATAAGACTATCAAAAGGAAGAAAGTAGACATTAACTCCATTAAAAAGATAAAAGGGAAAATAAGCTTCAGAGAGATAGATAAGAACATTTAAGAAATGCAGATATATTCACTTATTTAAGACACAAGATAGTGAGAAAACAAATTGGACTGAAATTTGGTAGTGTTAGAGTTACATCTTGTTCTATCACTGGCTGATTTGTAGGAAGACATAAGGCCAAATCCTTAACTCTTATTTGTAGAATGAAAATAATACTGTTTCCTAATCATGCGGGGTGGAAGGCAGTAGTGGGGATGTTGGTATGGCAATAAAGATTTTTACCACGGGGAATGTGGAGCAAGAGGAACGCATAACTTCTTTTTTGAGTAACAAGACTATGGCCAGATGAGTTGGGGAATGGTGCTTACACAGAGACAGGGACCAGGGATACCTCTTCCCTCTCTGTCTACTCCTTCTCCCCTCCAGACACATCATGAAATGCCGTTTATGTAGACAAGTCTCCTTTCAAAGTAGAAATTTACATTCTAGTTTATTATTATTGAAATGAGAACTTTTAACTTGGTATGTGGATCTGAACTTTATGTGAGCTTATAAAAGTCTCATTTTTGGGGAAAAGTTGTGTACTGAACACTATTCTTTACATCAAAGAGATTAAAGATAAAATAACTCATGGGATTTGAATCTGTGATTTCAGAGATTCCACTCCAAAGCAACTTTTCTGCCATCAGGCTCTCTCCTCTGGCTAGTAACATATTTTAATCCTGAAAAAATCATCCAATAGCCAGGTGGTTGGTTCTGTTGTAGCATATCATGAGGGTGAGTTGAGCACTTACATCCTTAGCTTGTTTGAAAAGCATGTTTCATGACAAATCTTTTACTGTTACCCAAAAGAATTTGCCTATATTCTTTAGGTGAAAAATGAAAATATTAAATCTATCCACTAGGATGTGCCCTTTAAAAAAAAAATGGGGTTAGTACCTTTTTATGTATTCTGTGATTCTTCACATGAGTTGTAGGCCATAGACTGATCAGTTATCTAGCACTCTTGTGAATATACCAGACTAATGTTACCAAACATTTATTGTGCTAGCACACCCACTTGAGAAAAATATTGATTTGAGCTAACTTAGATAGGCTTTCTTTCCTTAAATTCCCATAGACCACTGAAGACCACATTTATATGTAGCCACATACTCTATAACTAAAGAAGTACATTCATATGCTGGTAGATATTCTTGCTTACTTCCCTTAAGAAAATATAAAGAATGATTGGTGAAATAGAAATATATTATTTTAAGATTGGGAGGGAAGACTAACCTTACTGAGAATGGTATTTTCAAAATAATAGGTAGATTTAATGTACTCTTCTTACCCTATTTCTTTTTTTTTATTTAATAATTTATATAATTTGATAAACTTAGCCTTGCAATTTCTATTACCAAGAAGAAAAGGGAAATGGTTTCTAAATTTCCAAATGCATCATGTGTATGTATTTTCAAGCTCTTAGAATATTTAAAACTAAAGTTTGATATCTTGGCTAGAGAGGCACTTACTAATGTAATGTCAGTGTGCAAAATTCATCCTATAAGAAATATATTCTGCTGGAGTCCAGCCTGAGCTTTGGGTTCTAAATAGAAGAATATAGCTTTGGGTTCGAAATAGAAATATAGCTGAGGAGCTGGGAGCAGTGGCTCATGCCTGCAATCCCAGCACTTGGGGAGAGCAAGGCGGTGGATCATTTGAGGTCAGGAGTTCAAGACCAGCATGGCCAACATGGGGAAACTCCATCTCTCCAAAAAATACAAAAATTAGCCAGGGGTAATGGCACACGTCTGTAATCCCAGCTACTCTGGAGACTGAGGCAGGAGAATCTCTTGAGCCTGGCAGACGGAGGTTGCAGGGAGCTGAGATCACGACACTGCACTCCAGCCTGGGCATCAGGGTGAGACCCTGTCTCAAAAAAAAGAAAAAGAAAAAGAAAGCAATATAGCTGAGGGCAGAATGATTGGTCCTATATTAAAGAGATCATTTTTGACATTTGGGAAAATAAATGTGAAATGTGTATATTTGTATTATAATAATATAGTGAATTTAAACAGCAAAATCAAGTTAATAATTTGCCCTTTTTTCCTTTCAGGTTATGCATTAGACCCGTCATTAGATAATCATCAAGTGTCTGCTAAATATATTGGTTCTGTAGAAGAAGCTGAAAAAAATCAAGGTAATTTATTTGAAACATTTAATAGCAAATATATATATGTAAACATCTGTAATTTGTGTCTTGCAGAGTGACTTTAATTAGTTAAAAAGCATTTGATTTAGCTCTTTTTTTTTTAAGTTGAAACAATGGGGTGATAAGTTTAGAGCAATATAGTTGAACTGTTACAGTTTAGAGCTTGCTTTTGCCTCTTACAGTTGTGTAACCTTTGAGTACTTGGCACCATGCCAACCCTGTAGAACTCATTCAATAAATTATAACTAATATATAGATAATTTTGGCAATTGACTTATCAGTGCTAATGCCAAGCTTCATTTTAACAGAGTAGAAATACTTTATTTTGTAAGTCTATGAAGACTGTCTTTGAAGGGTTGCTTTGAACGCTGAGTCTGAATGTGTGTTTCAATGTATGTTTGTGTTCATATTCATTTTGAACTTACAATAAGACAAAACAATATTTGCTAAATGCTAACTTGTCACAAGGCTCTTCAGTCCATTCGAATATTATCCATAAATCCCATTTAAAAAGTAATTTGCTGGTTGCATAGGACACTTCTGCTTAGTAGCTATAGACCCTATGTGATCAGGCTACTCTCTGTATGTGAGCTAGATTATTGTTAAAATAGAATTTTAACAGGCTTTTGCTATAAAGCAAAGCCTGAATTAATATAGGCAGACTTTCTTTAAGTTAGAACTCTGCAAGTCCCACCTAAAGGTAGCTTGATTCTTAGTTAACTTGTGACTATGATTCCATGAACCTTTCTTTTTCCAGGGTAATGACTCTACACAGTATGCCACATCCTACTAATCAAATCAGAATCTCAACCAGAAACACCCTCCTTCTCCTTTTCTTTTACTGTTAACATTGATAATATTAGAGGTCAAGTTGAGACTGAAATCACTTGGAAGAAATACCACTTCCGGTGAAACTGTGTTTTATTTACGTTTTTGCATTACAAGTGAAATGAAGATAAGTTATTAAGTACTTACTATAACTTAATTTAGTTTTAAAATGATAAATTACAGTTTATTCTTGCTTTCAAAGGTCACTTTATCATTATTTAGCAGTAATGAGTTCCTGAGTTTTTTTCCAGAAAGTCATACAGATCCACTGACACAGGTTCTTGATTCAATAAAAGGTTTATGCACCATTGTAGGAGTACATACTTGGGTCTCTTTTTAAGTATACGGTATTAGAATTTGCAGAATATTGAATTAGTTTTAAGTGTCTTTGCCCAGAAGATTGAATCCCTTTTTGTCTAGCATGAGTCAGCATATATGGTAGATTCATGTAGATTGTTTTTTAATAACTCTGTCTTTTAATAACCACAGAGTTATTAAAATCATCTTTCTAATAAAATTAAACATATGTAATATTTCTTTAGAAAATGTACATCTTTGTAATCCGTGTTTTTTGGGGCTTAATGTAGGTTTGACTGTATTTGAAACTGGTCAGAAGAAAACAGAAAAGAGGAAAAAGTTCAAAGAAAATGATGCATCCAATATTGATGGTTTCTTGGGACCATGGGCAAAATACGTGGATGAAAAAGATGTAGCCAAACCTTCAGAAGTAAGCTTTGATGTTTTTCATTGTCAATTCAGGTGTATGCTGTTCCTCTATGAATGATATCTACATTAATACACTTGAGATTTCCTTAGAAATGACTAAGGAAATGACTTAGAAATGACTAACCGAATGACTCATCAAAAATTTTCTGCCTTTAGTTGATTGAAAATATACAATAAAATTTATTTGTTTTTCTTTGGAATATTTTTATTTACCTTTTTTGCTGATTTGTTTTCTCTCATGCTTTTTTTAATTAAAATACAATATTAAACAATTTTCATAAAGATTGCCTTGATATTCTATTAAGCTGCCATAGTAGCTGCTCTTCCGATACTTGACATTCAGATAATAGCTACAAAATCAGCTTTCTATTATACTAGAATTGATGATAGGTTTTACTGATTCCAAATTTATTTAAAATTTTAAATTTTATCTCTATATATATTTTTTAAACTACTGTAAAGTTTGTAAAGTAATGCTCTGCCCTTCCCTTCCTCACCTCCTAATCTCACTGTCTCTGTGAGCCAGGGAGTGTTCTAGTCCCAGGCCTACAGCATTGGACAAGATCAAGAAAATCCTTTCCTCATGAAGCTTATATTCTAGCTGTTACATTCAGTAAATCTATATTTATAATGATAGAAGTAAACAGGTGACATCTAAGATGAGTAAACGTATGCTACTGTTTTTTATTTATTTTAGATTTTATCTGTTGACTTCTTTGTTATTATGGATACAGATTTACTGCTACCCCATCTTCTGTCCCCAGCTCTTTAAAAAAGTTGTGTCACAGAAATGTAGTCATCACTTACACCCTAAGACTGTGTAAAAGTCATTAACTGAAAAACAACATCTTGTGCTAAATTCAGTGTCAATTCTGGAACTAGATTTTCTGATTGCCTTGTCTTTTTACTTGCATAACTAGTATAACATGTTAAAATTTATTTCTAGGTATCACAGAAGGATGAGTTTTGAAAACTGATTTTATATAGTTGAAAAGTATTTTCTAGTATCCATTATGTATTTAGTACCATTTTGTAATTTGTAGAAAAGGTACTCAATCTCTGCTTATAAGAGAGTTGAGCTTGACCTGGCGTGGTGGCTCAACGCTCGTAATCCTAGCACTTTGGGAAGCCGAGGTGGGCAGATTGCCAGAGCTCAAGAGTTCGAGACCAGCCTGGGCAACACAGTGAAACCATATCTCTGCTAAAATAGAAAAAATTAGCCAGGCACAGTGGCGCATGCTTTGTAGTCCCAGCTACTCAGGAGGCTGAGGCAGGAGAATCACTTGAACCCAGAAGAGGGAGGTTGCATGGAGCTGAGATTCACACCAGTGCACTCCAGCCTGGGTGACAGAGCAAGACTCCATCTCAAAAAAAAAGGGTTGAGCTTGTTATTCTGGGAACATACTTGGACCAAATTTGTAGACCTCATTATAAAGAATTTATAACCATCTTTAGGCATAATGAGGTTCTAAAACATTCATTTTAAATTTTACTCCTTAATTTTCTTAGGAAGAACAAAAAGAATTGGATGAAATCACAGCAAAGAGGCAGAAAAAAGGAAAACAGGAAGAAGAGAAACCTGGGGAGGAGAAGACAATCTTACATGGTATTACATTTTTTATACATCTTCATTTTTATGAAAAAACTTCATATTTGATATTATATGAATAGCAGATAACAATCTATTCTTTCATAAGATAAAGTTGACTCTTTTGGTGTATTGATAGTGCCCCAGTCATTTTAATTGTTTTTAACAAAGCCAAATACTCAGGTATCCTCACAGTTCATAACTGTTACTAAACTGTACTCAGAAAGAATAAACTTGGATTTTCATGTGAAAAGATAGAGAGTAAGGCTCTAATACTTATTTTGACTTGTAGAAGGAAATGCATAAGTATTCTAGAATGTACCTGTTCATTAATAATTAGTTATATTTAGGAAATTATAATTATCTAAAACTGTAAAGGATAACTTAGTAGTTACAGTGTTGCTTATTCTAATGTTAATATTACATCAAATATTTAGGTTTGATGAAGCCATATTTGGTTCTTCAAGCTTCCATTTTATGTCCAAGGAGTCTATTCAGTATTATGGTACTTACAACTATAATAACAATAATATAACATTTATTGAATATTTACTCTGTGCCAGGCATGCTGCTAATTGCCTTATATATACTATGTCATTTAATTCCCATAGGTGACTTTATTGTAAAATTTGTGATGAAAGCGGGAAAAGATAGATGAAAAGGAACTGGAAGGGCATAAAAGAGGAAAGCAGGGGAAAAAGAGAGTTGATACTTTTTTTGTTTACTTTAAATTCCTTCTTAACCTGTTTTAGTTCTGCTTCTTTACCAATGACTCACAAGGCCCGAGTATTATCTTTTCTTCCTCTGCTATAATTATGCTACAGTGAAGTCTTCATAAGTCACTAAGATGTGTAACTGATGAAAAGAAGTATAGATCTTATCTAAAGGTCTATGATCTCTGGGTATTTAGGAATTTCAAAATACTACCTCTAGTTGTAAATGATAGCAGTTATTTAAAGCACTTAAATCTTAGCTGACTCTTGATCTTGACATCATTGGAGTGTTATTACCTAACCTTAATATGGAATGCTATCCCTGTGACTAAAATGTTATTTTAAGATATAGATTTCATGACTATGGCTTGTATTTGTTTATTGATTTTCTTTGCCTTTTTGTTTCAGTTAAAGAAATGTATGACTATCAGGGCAGGTCCTATCTTCACATACCTCAGGACGTTGGTGTTAATCTGCGGTCCACTATGCCACCTGAGAAGTGTTATCTTCCCAAAAAACAAATTCATGTGTGGTCTGGACACACAAAAGTAAGCAAGTTGCTGTTTGTGTTTGCTGTAATGTTATAATAATGAAGCCAAAGTAAAGTTTTAGCTATTGATGTGAAACATTTAGTATTTCTGGTAAACGTGTAGGGAAATTAAATTGAATGTAAGCCTGAATTATAGGCTTTGGAGGTGCCCACACATCCATCACAAGTGACTAATCAGTCTTCAAGGCCATCTGAATTGGCCATGCCATAGCATTCATGGTTCGGTGCCCTGCATCCTTGAAGCCCAGGCCTTTCCCCACGAGTTCCTGCTACAATCTTCTTCCCTTTTGGGCACCAAATCAGTGAGTAACGGGCTGGTATTAGCAACAAGTCTCCTGGTTAGCTTCAGTAATTTTGCTTTAGCTCTTGTGGTTATCACACTTCAGAGATTAGATGTGCCCTGCTTTATAAACTATGGTAATTTTTAAACTAATGCAGAGACAAGGCACATGAAAACTTTTGATATTGATATTCTTCGTCATCTACACTATTCCAACGGGTAATTTTCAACTCCTTGCAAAGAGCAAAGGGACTAAGTTAAAAAAGGAAGACAAGTGGGGGCATTAGCAATTTGATTGACTCAAGATTCCCTTGGGTGAGGAACTCAATATTAAAGGTTAAAAAAAAAAAATCTTCAAAAGCTTAGTGTCAATAAGGCCTGCTCTTGGAATGCTAATGAAGGTTATTCGGAGGTGTGATTTTTGGAATGAAGACAAATAGCAAATTAAGCTGCTTAATATATACTGTCTTTTCTTGATGCTTAATTTTAGCTGATCTGTAGAATGCTTCTGGTTGATAACGTTAATACCTTTTTATAGGGCGTCAGTGCAGTCAGATTGTTTCCTCTCTCTGGCCATTTATTGCTGTCTTGTTCCATGGACTGTAAGATTAAGGTGAGTTTTCAGTAGCAGAGTAGCAGTGCTGCAAAGCTAGTTCTTTGGTTAAATCTGTTTGGTTCATTATAAATAAATTTGGGTTTGTTAGGCAATTAGAAACTAATTATTTTCTCTTAGACCCTGTAAATACAGCAATTTATGAACCACTTCCAAACTTACGGTTCTGTGGTCCAGTTGGCTGGTCTCCTTTTTAAGCTTAGACAACTGATGAGAATGTAATCCAGTCACTTTGGCTTTAGACGTATAAATATTTAATCACAAATCATTTTTATAGAGATTTTATATATGTAATAGTTCGTTTCTTCAAACCTTACGAAATAGAGAGGACACATGATAGAAATCCCATTTTTAGAAAGTAGAAAATGTAATTCATCCTTTTTCTTCTAAATACTAGTAGACTCCAAGTAGCAGAACTGCCCCTAGCCCCTTCGTTCACCTTTTCTAGTCTTGGGAAGTTCCATCTTTAGCTTCTATTCAGCTGTAGAATGTGTGGTAGAAAAAACTCAGTTGCCAGTGCATCTCAACCTGAATCTGCAGAAAGTCTTGAAAAAAAATTTTAAATCTAAAAGGATAGTTCTAACCGGTTTTGTGTCTTCTCTTTGTCCGGACCATTATGATGGTTCAATAAATACCAACCCTATAGTGCTCTTGGGGCTTGGAAAGTTGAGTCATTAAAATTTTATCATTAGTAAATAATTCATGGATATTAACAATAAAAAGAGGCCTCTTCTTTTGATAAGAGCAACCATGTAGGCATTTGTCTCTAATAGCTTAAAATGACAGGCCAACATTTTGGAAGTAAAAACGCCCATTTTATTTAACTTTTACTGTGTACGAACTACGTTAATTGAGATGTTGGTCTTTTCTTTGGCCAACCAAAAAAGCATAGAATTCAATTTAGTTCACTTCTATAAACATTCTATTATGTTCAAGGGACTGAAAGCAAAAGCTATTAAGGCACTGTCTCTCCCCTTAAGATGATCATTTTATTATGATATAAATGATTATTATAGAGGCAAGCACAAGATATGCTGCTTTCAAAGAGGAAGCATACCTTAGTAAGAAGGTTGACTAAGTAAAGGACGAGGAAACAGGAGTAGAGTTGTTTGAAAAGAGTAAAGAGAATGAATCAGCATGGTGTGTGCTAGAAACAACAGTTTTGTGCTTGCTGCCGCATAACAACTAAGAAACAAGGAATGATTGCAGTCATGGGCAAGGAACCAGGTCTCAGAGGTCCTTTCCTAATATTCTACAGTAACTGAGACCGTGTCCTACTGGCACCGGTGGCAAGGAAATGCTTTCTGTTTTGGAGTACTAGCAACATTGTTGAGGATTGGATTCAAGGCAGTCAAGAATAAAGCTAGTCTTGAAGCTATTGTATTAATCCACGTTAGATATGCTGAGAATTATAAGCCTGTTATTTTAGTCTAAATCATCATTTCCATATAGTTTCTGTAATACTTGTTACTTTAGAAAAGTAAACAAAAAGGCTTTCACTTTCAAAATGTCGTATACATGCCAGTTTAACACTTAATTCCTTTAAAAGTTGTTTGTAGTGCTACAAAAGTAGAAACTTTTCATCACAGAAAATATATGAAACAGAAAAGAACAATATGAAAATAAAAACTCACCTGAATTAACTCCACCTATAGTTAAGTCTCATGACATTTTGATGTAAATATCTTTAAAACGCTTTAGTTTTGAGTGTGTGTGATTGTGTGTGTGCACGTTCCAAGTATTACAAGACAAGCTGGCAGCCCCAAGCAGTATTTAATGATTTTCAGTGTTTACTATTTAATAACTAAAGCTGTGTGTTTACACACATAGATACGCACACACATAACCAGCATAGGGCTATAGTTATTGATTGAAAAACTTATATTAAATGTAATATTTCCATGTGTTATTTTCTTCCCCCAGCTATGGGAGGTTTATGGAGACCGGCGCTGTCTGAGAACATTTATTGGTAATGCTTCTTTTCTCTCCAACATAAATCGGTTTGGGAAGAATTTTTCAAGTGAGATAACATAATTGATAGTAATTTCACTACACTGATAGGAAGGAAAGTCTTCATAGACTTGAGCTGAATCTGGAAGGAGGAGTCAGTCTCCCCAGGTAAACAAAGAAAGAACTAGGAAGCAAGAGCAGCAGATGGAAAACGAAAGTGGTGTGAGGAGGAGTGCTGCTGAGGGGATCCACGTGTATTTCAGGATTGTCAGAGGATGTTGAGAGTCAGAAGTGGAGAAAAGTAGTAAGAGGGGGATCAGAGCAGGGGAAACCTTCTGTGCCATTAATAAAGAGTGCCCTCTATTCTGAGGGCATTGGGGAACCATTAGAGAGCTCTTGCAGGAAAGCGACATGATTTGACGTTTACGAAGATTAAATGGCAATACACAGGATGCTTTGGTAGGGCAAGCTTGGAGGAAGGGAAAAAATTACACAGTTCTTTCATAGGTCTGATTTAGAGATGATGAGAGTCTGAACCAAAGCAGCAAAGAGAGAAGAAAGGAGCTACGTATTAGAGTTCAAGTCAGTGAGATTGAGTAACGGCATGTAAATGATCAGAATGAGACAGGAATCTAGGGTAACTCCCATGAGGCTGGATGAATGATGGTGCCATTCACCAAGAAGGAACATAAGATGATGGTGAGGTTTTAGATACACCAAATTTGAGCTGCCTTTGGGATATTGAGGTGAAAATGTCCAGTAAGCAATTAGATAGCCAGATGTCGAGCTTTGAAGAGAGACTGAGAATTAGCAGCTAAATCATAGAAAAAGGATGAGATTGAGAGAACTCCTTGAAGAAAGGAAGAAGGCCAAAGGGAGGACAGCTTTGTGACATGCCAGCCTTTTTGGTAGAGAAAGGTTTATTGTCTTTGTCAAATTTCATGTGAAGGCTAGCTCCTCTTTCCAAATTTAACTGTACCACATTGAAGCAGTGTGACTCGTAGTGGCTCTGTTTTTAGATTAAAGTGGGAGTGTGTTTGGCAGTGCTTTATGATTTTAGGGCCTCCCTGCACAAGTTAATACTGCCTAAGATGTCACCGCAGTCTAAAGGAAGACTTGTGGAAGGCTGTTAGCTGTGTACAGGAGAACAAAATGTCTCCGTCAGATAGAGTGGATTTGGTCGGCATCTGTCTCCTCTGCACTGGCAGACCATTTTTCTATGGAAAACTGAAATTTTCCTCTTGAGGGAGATGATAACAGCTCTCACTGGGACTCCGGCTGTAGAAAAGGATGCCTAATTGCCATGACACATCCTGCCTGATGGGAGTTCACTGGAGGTGATGGTTTAGAGCTGCTGCATGTGGTTAACAATTGGTGCCATGCTCATCTTGCACAATTGTACATGTCTTGGTCATGGTGGGGTGGTAAAAATAGGAACATTTTTGCTTTTGTTTAACCACATTTTATTTTTCTTTGTAATTTTTACAAGAGTTGAATGGTCTGTCAAGATTCATTTTTAAGTAAAGTATAATCAGCACCTTAAAATTAGTGTATTGTCAAAATACCATCTTAAAACAATAGAAGCGAGCCTGGGCAACATAGCAAAACCCTTTCTTTACAGAAAATACAGAAATTAACCAGGCATGGTGGCATGTACCTGTAATCCCAGCTACTCAAGAAGCTGAGATGGGTGGATTGCTTGAGCCAGGGAGGTTGAGTTTACAGTGAGCTGAGACTGCCCATTGCAGTCTAGCCTGGGCAACAGAGCAAGACCCTGCCTCAAAACAAAATAAAAATTAAAAAAAAAATACAAGCTAATATAGTTTTCAAAAAGTCTCCTAGATTCAGAGTCAGCTTCTATGAAATTTGGTAATGTGATCACAGAAATATACAGTTGTTGAACAAGGGCTACAATTTCCTGAACTTTAGGTTTAGGTCACTTTGTTTTCACTTGCAGCCTCATGAGCAATCTGAGAGTGAACCTCCAAACTTCCTGCTGCCATTTCTTTCACTAGCAATAATTGGTCTTTTACATTTCCATCAGTTCTTGGCTAGTTAGTCATCACTTGTATGTACTGCATATTAAGAAATCGCTATGACAGACAAAAAAAATGTTAAACCTTTTCTCTTGGTTCTTACCAAGATGTTTGCATCAGAATCACCCAAGGAGCTTCTTCAAGGGGAAAAAAACACCCACATTCTGAAGCCCACACATAATACATTCTAAGTCAGTAAATCAGGCAGTAGCATTCCAGTGTTCTTAAGTCACAGCTGAGAACAACTGCTTAGTGCTGTTTTTATGTGTTTATGTTTTAAGAGAAGATAGACTTCACCTCACTGCTGTTTCTGTTGACTCCACCTTTAGGTCACAGTAAAGCTGTTAGGGACATCTGCTTCAATACTGCAGGAACACAGTTCCTCAGTGCAGCCTATGACAGGTATCTTAAGCTGTGGGACACTGAGACAGGTAAGAGTTCACTTATACATATTAATCTTACAAGTTATCACTTATATATGAAATAGTATGAGTAGTCTTCTGTGGCAAAATGGCACCTTCTCTAACTGCTGATTCTCATACTATTCACTATCAGCTAATATCACAAAATACATTTGTAGACTCAAAATTAAGCATAAGTAGCTCTTTCACTATGAAACTTGTTTGTACCAGATAGCGTTTATAAAGCAAACATATTGACAGATAAACAAAGTCGAAATCTTGTATAGGCCATCTGATTGATCTTTTTGTCCCCCTGCATCACCTCATATGTACATTGCACGTAAGTGCGATTTAATGTCTAATGAACAAAATTAAATTTATTTGGACAAATTGATTAAAATGTAGGTCTAAACTTCCACAGGCCAGCTGGTTTTATATATTCACAGCCATACTAATTGCTCTTTATTAATTGATTCACATTAATAAGTTGTGGCTAGTATAATTTTATGTAATTAGAAAAATCATCTTATTTTTTACTGTCTTACTATCATTACCCTTACTGCATTTTAAGGGTAATGCTAATAGTTAATATTTATTAAACATCATTTACAAGACATAATTGCTAAGCATTGATGTTCGGTATCTCCTTCCATCTTAATTTACCCTATGAGGTAAGTACTATTATTATATTATAGATAAGGAAACTGAGGCTTAAAGAGCTAACTTTTTCAGGGTCATACAGCTAATAAGTGGCAGACTTGTGTTCAGACGAAGCTCCCTCTGATGCCAAAGCCCATGTTCTTCAGCATTTTAGCAGTAGTCTCAATTCTGGCCACACATTGTAATCATCTGAAGAGCTTTATTATTACTGATGCCTGAGTCCCACCCTCAGAGGTGTTTATGTAACTGGTACAGGCTATAGACTAGATGATTGTACCATGTAGCCACGGCGGAGAAACCACTATTTTGCAGGTTCTTTTAAAAATCAAGATAAAATGTACACACAGTAAAATGTATGAAGTGTCTAAATATTCAGTGATTTTTTTTTTTTTTTTTTTTTTTTTGGTAAACATATCTATGTAGTTATCTGTCACCAAGATCAAGATACAGAACATTTCCAGCACTTAGTAAAGGTTTCTTGTGCCCTTTTCCAGTCTGTGCCCACTGCCAGTAACCATAGTAACCACTTCTGTCATCTCAGATTCACTTAAACATCTTATAAATGAAAGATGTTTACTCTTTTGTTTCTAGCTCCAGCATAATGTCTGAGATTCACTCATTGGATTGAACCAGTAGTGTTTTTTTTTTTTTTTTATTGCTTACACTGTTCCATTATATGAAGGAAGTTATAATTTATTTATTCTACAATTGGAAGTACAGATTTACTTTTGAAAAAATTATTTTTAATTATTAAAAATCTATGAAAAAGAACAAATGTAGTTTAAAGAGCAAGCAGGCAGTCCTTCCTCAAAATTTATTAAGCAGGTAATCTCTAGATCTTAATCTCACAGCCATCTTTAAGTGGTCAAATTTATTTTACCTATTTAATTTGAGTCTTTGGTTTTAGGACAGTGTATATCAAGATTTACAAACCGAAAAGTACCTTATTGTGTCAAATTCAATCCTGATGAAGACAAGCAAAATCTCTTTGTGGCTGGGATGTCTGATAAGAAGATTGTGCAAGTAAGTCTTTCACAGTATTTTGTTAAGACTCCTAAGCTTATGTGGTATAAGGGGATGGAATAAGTTAATAAGCTAATATTACTCATTTAATATTGTTACTTTTAGGGACAGCTAATGCTCCACTCTTAGCAGAAAAATCTACATTTATAAAAATATCATGTTGAAGATCTTTTCCTTCTCCACTTTCCAGAATTATGGTCCTTCACAAATCTGCTCTACTTCTGTCTTTACCTTTTCTCTTGCTTGATCTACAGTGGGACATTCGAAGTGGAGAAATTGTGCAAGAATATGATCGGCATTTGGGAGCTGTCAACACCATTGTTTTTGTGGATGAGAATAGGAGATTTGTGAGCACATCTGATGATAAAAGCCTAAGAGTTTGGGAATGGTGAGTTTCCATTAGTAGAAAACCTGACTTATATAAAGCAAGCAGTTAAAAATTGTATAGTCAAAGATGAAACCTGATAATATACAACCATTTCAATATTTTTTGCAACTGTGATCCTGGCTTGCCAGTCAAACTGTCTTAACTATTTAAGTGCTGGCCATATGGAGATTAAAATCTAAACATGCTACCATTTATGATCTTTGGATGGTCTTTCCAAAGGATGTGTATTTTGGGTTGTTTTTCTTATAGTGATGATAGATTTGTGTTGTGCTGTCTTACATTCTTTATTAGGTATCTTATTCATCTCTGCAAAATAACTGGCAAGCAGTAGGGAGATAGAGCATAAGATTGTGGCCCTAGAACCACTCAAAGAAAATACTGGTATATATCTTAATTTTTTAAATGTCTACTTTTTATGATTATTCAGTACTGACAAACACCCCATGTATTAGTCCATTTTCACTCTACTGATAAAGACATGCTGGAGACTGGGCAATTTACAAAAGAAAGAGGTTTAATGGACTTAAAGTTCTCCGTGGCTAGGGAGGCCCCACAATCATGGCAGAAGCAGAAAGGCACTTCTTACATGGCAGCAGCATGAGAGAGAATGAGAGCTGAGCCAAAGGGGTTTCCCCTTATGAAACCATCAGATCTCATGCAACTTATTCACTACCTCACGAGAACAGTATGGGAGAAACCACCCCTGTGATTCAATTATCTTCCACCGGGTTCCTCCCACAATACTTGGGAATTATGGGAGTACGATTCAAGATGAGATTTGGGAGGTTGCACAGCCAAACCATATCACCCCATATCACCATGCTGGTACAAATGTTTTACTTGTAGAATATAATCATATTATATTGGTTAATTGTACTTTCCTAGGGAAAAAAATATTTTTCTAAAGTTAAGAAATATACTAGTTTCATTACATATCATAGTGTGTTCTATAGTTCATTTGCAAAAAAAAATGCTTGATAACCTTTTTGTTAAAATGAATGTTTGGACGGAAACCACCGTGTTTTTGCAGTCAGTTATTAAGCACAGCTCAACCATGAGTCCTCCTAGCAAGACTAAAAAGTGTGTCTGTCCATCCCCCAAAAGTTGTTCTGCTTTAACAAGTGGGAAGCCTTGAACCACGGCCAGTGGTTTCCTCTTTATACCAAGTCCCTCTGGGGACCTGAGCAGGTCCCTAACCATTGTTAGGACAATCTGGGTGACTGAATATTTCATGTAATTTAATTGTAGTTTCTCCCACACTCACCACCATCATCACTGCACCCCTTCGGATTATCCCCAATTAGTGGAGAGTTGACTGTACTTTATATATATTCTTAACATATAACCCATCTTGGAGACTACCTCACAGCTGAAATCTTTCTTACTTCAGAAATGTTTTTTTACAGAGAATCTAATATGGACCCTAAGTTTTATATGAGCCACCTTAGATCATTTGCACAAACTCTGGAGAATAAGGATACATATACACGTTCTGTTTTGTTTTATATACTTTAACAGTTTGACTATATTCAAACTTTCTGATGTTTCTACCTTCAGATATTTTCAATTTTAAATATAGAGTGATATAAAAGAAATTTGTAAATATTTAAATATTTAAGTAATTACAGGGCTTAAGGACATGTATATGTGAGTGTTCTAAAGTAAAACATTGGTGAGCAAATAATTTTTATTAAACTAACGGGTAATGTTAGTGTGTTTCTTTTTTTTTCCCCCCATTCCTCTCAGATCTTGAGAAATACTCCTAAAAAGTCATGATACTGTTTTGTTACAAATGATGACGTTCTTTAGATTTTACTTTAACTTGGCTGGGCACAGGGGCTCATTCCTGTTAGTTATCCCAGCACTTTGGGAGACTAAGTCAGGTAGATTGTTTGAACCCAGGAGTTTGAGACCAACCTGTGCAACGTGGTGAAATCCTGTCTCTACAAGAAATACAAAAATTAGCTAGTGTGATGGCACAGGCCTGTAGTCCCAGCTACTTAGGAAACTGAGGCAGGAGGATTGCTTGTGCCTGGGAGGTCGAGGCTGCTGTGGGCTGTGCTTGTGCCACTGTACTCCAGCTTGGGTAGCAGACCGAGACCCCCATCTCAATTAAAAAAATTAAAAATAAATAATGTTTTAAAAACAGATTTCAGGCCAGATGCAGTGGCTCATGCCGGTAATCCTAGCACTTTGGGAGGCTGAGGCGGGTGGATCACAAAGTCGGGAGTTCGAGACCAGCCTGGCCAACATGGTGAAACCCCATGTCTACTAAAAATACAAGAATTGGTGGGTGTGATGGTGCACACCTGTAATCCCAGCTACTCAGGAGGTTAAGGCAAGAGAATCTCTTGAACCTGCGAGGCAGAGGTTGCAGTGAGGCGAGGTCACACCATTGCACTCCAGCCTGGGCAGCAGAGCAAGACTCCATCTCAAAAAAAAAAACCAGATTTCAGTTTAACCCTTACTATGAGAGCTTTCCCATACTATGAGAGCCTGTATAGTTAGATGAATGAAGGGATTGGTAAGGAGAGAAGGACAGACACACTTTTTAGTCCTTGCTAGGACTCATGGTAGAGCTGTGCTTCATAACTGACTGTAAAAACAAGGTGGCTTCCATTCAAACATTCATTTTAACAAAAAGTTTATTGAGCACTTTTTTGTAAGCATATTTTCTTTTTTTAAAGAAAATAACTAGTCCTCAGACAAGATTAGGTGCCTCCTCCCCATCATCCCACACTGTCATTGGCTTTCCACAGCTTTTAGCATACTTCAAGTGCTTGTTTATTTGTTCCATTCTCTCACAAGTTCTTAACCGTGAGAGAAAGAACAGTGTGAGTCATGCTTACTGTCTGTTCCCAGCACAGTGCCTGGCACACAATATGTGCTATATCTCTAAAGAAGTAATTATTGGTGTAATTATCAATGATGTTACATTTATTGAGCTCTTTCGATATGCCAGTTACTATGCTAAGCATTTCACATGAACTATCTGATTTAGTGTGTAAAGCAATCTTATAAGATAGGTACATTTGTTATTCCCATTTTATATATAAGGAAGCTAAGCTAGTTTGAGTAATTTGCCCAAGGTTATATAGGACATAAAAGGACCAGAGTTCACATTCGGATCAAACTGACTTCAAAGCTTGATTTTTTTTTTTTTTTTTTTTTCCAAGAGACAGGCTCTCACTCTGTTGCCTAGACTAGAATGTAGTGGTGCAGTCATAGCTCACTGCAACCTTGAACTCCTGGGCTCAAACGATCCTCCTGCCTTAGCCTCCTGAGTGACTGGGACTATAAGTGCATGCCAGTATGCCTCATTAATTTTTAAATTTTTTGTAGAAATAGAGTCTTACTCTGTTTTCTGGGCTGGTCACAAACTCCTGGTCTCACAAAGCTTGAATTATTGATCATATGAATGGATAGTTAGATGAATGAGGGGACTGGTAAGGAGAGAAGGTATTAATAACTTGTATTTGATTTGATTAGTGAGAAAGTAATAATTGTAAGGGTCTGTTCTGCTACAAAGACAAGTAGGAAGCAATACCAGTTCAGGATCCCCGGAACTGTGCTTACTGTGTAAATCATCCGTAAGAGAAATTACTAGTGATACTGGCCACTTGCTTAGGAGAGGAAGGGAGGCCCTGACCTCCTCAAAGTGACAGCTGACCTCCTCTGTGGGAAAATTAGCAACACTGGGCCTAATTCAGACAAGTGGTGTTTGTCAAACTTTTATATGCTGTACCTGCTTAGAGAACCATAATGATACCAGAAAACAAAGGAAATTTTCTTAAATAATATTATACAAACTAACTCTATTATGTACTAAAAGAGAATAAAAGACTATTTTAGATATTTAGCAGCTTGTGGTATTTTAATCAACCAAATGCATGAAATGTCATAGACATGTTTTATCCAGAAGGTCTTTATTTTGGTAAAATAATTTTTAAAGAAAATTTTATAGAAGTTGACACTACTGTTTATCTTTTAGCTTTAAAATTTCACAGATTTTATTAGGATTTTTTGAATTTTTAAACTGGAGATTATTTGCAAGATATGAGTTACTAGCTCATTATACCGAATTACAGTATCTAATTAGAAAATAGTGTTGTGTTTGTTTATTTATTTATTTTTGCGATGGAGTCTTGCTCTGTTGCCCAGGCTGGAGTGTGGAATGCAGTGGTATGATCTCAGCTCCCTGTAGCCTCTGCCTCCTGGCCTCAACCAATTCTCCTGCCTCAGCCTCCCGAGTAGCTGGAATTACAGCCATATGCCACCACATCTGGCTAATTTTTATAATTTTATTAAAGACAGGGTTTTGCCATGTTGGCCAGGCTGGTCTCGAACTCCTGACCTCAAGTGATCCACCGCCACGGCCTCCCAAAGTGCTGGGATTATAGGCATGAGCCACCACGCTCAGCCATGTTGTGTTTATTAACTATAACTATGCCTAGCAGGCATTTTTGCTAGAAATAATGAAGTCTGCAGGGTAGTTCAAAAATTCTTTTTCCATAGTTACTGGTATGAAGATTCCTTGAAATAAGGTATCCATTTGAATATTTTTGTTTACTTTTTGTTAACACGTTGATCAATATGAACCTAGACCATAGTTAATTTAGAAAATTCTCGTGTTTTAATTCATGTTGTAAAATTATTAACCACTAACAATAAATATGAGGAGGGAAGAAGCAAGCCTTTTTTTGATTGCAGCTTTTTAAAATACATTTAGGTCATTCTAAATGTCAGTTCTCACTGGTACCATAGAAGTTTAAAGGGTTGGAGATCTGACAAATGATGTCATTCCCCAGGTTATTCCTGAAAATGTTTTCCACTGACCATGAACCTGTTCTAGTCGTTTGTTCCTTCTGCTGGGTGGATGGATAAATAGGGAAAATCCTTATATTAAGGCAAATTATTATTCTTTTCCAGTTAATCAAAGTATTGGAACTTGAAACAGGGTTTGAAGTTAAAATTGCTGCTGCATAATCTGTTACTTATCAGATTACATTTCCCACACATTATTCTGTAAAAAATATTTCTGGTCTCATGAAAAACAAGAAGACCAAAAATCCTTTCAGAAAAGAATTTTTAGCATGGAGAATTTTGAAAATAAAATGGCACTTATAACTTTTGATGGTTCTGAATCTAGGTGGCTAGTTTGAATTTTTGTTTTTCTTTCAGTCTTCATATCACTCACAAGTTTGTTTTTTTTTTAATGTTTTTTCTCCTTCACTGAACACATTTGAAATGCTTTGCATGTCAACTGAAAATAGTCCAGGTACCAAGCATTTAATCTCTCTGGCCGTGGACATCATTTCTGGATGGGCTAGACCAGCTCACGGATCCCTACAGTTTTGCCTGCCATCCACTTGCATTGCTGCAGGCTCTTTAACACTCTCACCCACCGAGTTAAGGTTGACTGGCGGGTAAAATAACACTTCCCCATAGGCTTGCCTCAGACACCTTGCTTCATCCTACCATGGTACATTTTTTATTTAAATTTTTTTAAATTTCAACAGCTTTTGGAGTACAAGTGGTTTTGGGTTACGTGGACGAATTATATGATGGTGAATTCTGAGATTTTAGTTTACCTATCACCATGGTACATTATTAAAGAACTTTTAGTAACAAATTTGTTAACATAAAGGACAAAGTGTAAATCAAATAGAAAACAAAATCACTGCCACTGTTATAATTATCATGGAAAGTCATTTATGAAGGACAGGATTTACTGTAAGCCATACAGTATCATTTTGTGATTTTTCTTCTTCTAGAAAGTTTCACGAAAGATTTATTAAATGTATAATTTCAATAGTTTGCTTTTATTTGCATATTATTCCTGTATTCCAGATATAATTCTTCTGAAGGTGCTTTTTAAAAATTACTTATTCTGATATGACATTTTTTAGGGATATCCCTGTGGATTTCAAGTATATAGCAGAACCCAGTATGCACTCAATGCCTGCAGTGACTTTGTCTCCAAATGGTGAGTTAGTTCATAGATCGTATTTTTCAATGAGGTTCTGAGATACAGTGTGATTTCTTTATTCAAAAGAACTTTGGCCCCTTCTTTCTTGGGAAGGTGTGTCACAGTGCCATTACTTGGATAAGGCAGCCTTTACAATATTAAAAAGAATTACTGGTTTTCATGTGTAAGTCACATCGCCTACTTTTCTCTGTCTTTTTGTAAATAAAAATAAAAGAAAATGATTTATAGCTAACACCTGTTGAACATCAGATTTCTATTTAACAATCAGTTTTTTCTTTTCCTTCTTCTTTTTTTTTTTTTTTTTAAAGGCAGGGTCTCCCTTTGTTGCTCAGGCTAGACTCAAACTCCTGGGCTCAAGTGATTTTCCCACCTTGGCCTCCCAAGGTGCTGGATTACAGGCCTAAGCCATTGTGCCCAACCAGAGTTTTCTTTTCTCATTCTCCTTCCAAACGGAATCATGTTTAGTAAATCATTTAATAATGATTTGGCCAAGGCAGGAGAATCACTTGAACCCAAGAGTTCGACACTAGTCTGGGCAACATAGACAGACCTCATGTCTACAAAATAAAATTTTAGAAATCAGCTGGCATGGTGGTGCACACCTATAGTCCTAGCTACTTGGGAGGCTGAGTGGGGTGGTTCCCTTGACCCACCCCAGAGGTCGAGGCTGCAGTGAGCTATGATCATGCAGCTGTACTCCAGCCTGGTCAATAGAACAAGACCCTTTTCTCTAAAAATAATAATAATAATGATTTATTGTAAGCTCTTTCAGGGGATAGGAAATTTAGGTCTGGTTCTCCATAATGAGAATACTTTAGCAATTCTCTATAAAATATTTTCTCAGGCAAAAATTAAAAAGATAAATCTATTTAATATTGTTTAATCCATTGTTTTTTAAGTACAAGATAATTTGTGCTACAGATATACTGACAATATACTGATGTGATTATAGCTCTACATGAGTCTAAAAGTGGGGGTTTTGATGTTTGGGGGACATTGTCATCAAAGCCACCGTTAACACACATAATTACCCCAAGTGTAGGGCAAGGAAGAGTTTGCTCTTCCGTCAGGGCCTCTGACACAAGCAAATGGTGATAGTCGTCAAATGCTCTATCATTTTTATAAGAAGAGCAACCTAACTGAATCCTTTTTTGGTAATTGCTAGATTATATACTTCGTCACTATGCATCTACATTTCATGTAGTGTGTTTTTAAACCAGCTGTTACAGATTTTGTCCCCATTTTAAGCAAGGCCATTCACCCACTCAGGCATTATTGAAGTCCATTTCCTCAGTTAGTAATGTTTACATGGCCCATCCATAAGTACCACATCCTGGGATTCAACCAGCACAAATCCAAATTATTCAACAAAAATAAATAAAAAATAACAATATAAGAATTAAAGATACAAATTAAAAAAAAACACAATATAACAACTAGGTACAAAGCATTTACGTTGTGTATTAGGCATTATAAGTAATCGAGAGGTGATTTAAATTATACAGGAGATACGTGTAGGTTATATGCAAACCCTATGCCATTTTATATAAGGGACTTGAGCATCTGGATTTTGGTATTGGGTGGGGGTGCAGATCCTGGAACTGATTCCCAACAGATACCACGGGATGACTGTATATAGGATGCAAGTATAGTCATGCATTCCTAATAACAAGGGTACTTCTGAGAAATGCAATATGAGGTGATTTTGTCATTTTGTGGACATCATACAGAGTACGTACACAAACCTAGATGGTATAGCCTACTTACCCTAGGCTGTATGGGACAGCCTATTACCCTAGGCTCTACCCCTGTGTGGCATATTGCTGTTCTGAATAATGTAGTCAATGCTTAGCATTTATGCAAATAAATGTATCTAAACATATCTAAACATAGAAAAGGTACAGTAAAAATTCGGCATTATAATCTTATGGGACCACTGTCATGTATGGTCCATCATTGACCAAAACATTGGTAAGTGGCACATGACTGTAAACACTGCAGTTTAGGCACTAGGGGCTTTGATGAATCCTAAGAAAAGAAAAGAAAAGCGTTGTAGCCTTTTAAAAAGTTACTGTAATTTTTAAAATTTTTAAACTTGTTTTGCATAGTTTCATTTAATAATACTAGGCTTTCTCACCAGTTAATCTTTATTACATAATGATCACAGATAAGTGTCTTTCTTCTATGTCCCATAGTTCTGTTGTCTATGCTTACTATAAATTAATTTTAGTTCATAACTTTTAGTTTATTAACACTAAGCTTGGAATTTCTCTATTTCCTTATTTTTTTAAAAAAAGCTTTTATGTGAGAGTGCTCAGTGATACAGAGTTTGTATAAGCAAAAGCCATTAGTTTATATATTAATACCTCTTGCCAGTGACATATTTGTAACACCTTACAAGTAGTATAGTAAATTTATTTTTTAATATTACAGCATATTTGGGAGCAAAAATTATATTAATCACAGTAAACACACTTAAAAAGGTTTTTAAAATGTTTTCGTCTTTCTCTAAAATACCTCATTTATTGAATTTACAGGAAAATGGCTAGCATGCCAATCAATGGACAACCAAATCTTAATTTTCGGAGCACAGAACAGATTTAGATTAAATAAGAAAAAAATTTTTAAGGGCCATATGGTAGCAGGCTACGCTTGTCAGGTGGACTTTTCACCAGACATGAGGTAAGTTAAATCTTCTCATTCATTCTCATATTCAAATATGATGATATAAACTATTGTTGTACGAATAACACGTTAACATCACTGTCACATAATATGTTTTTATGAGAACTCAGTAATGTTTCAAAATTGTCAAAATGCTGGATGTAAAGGTCAGAACAAATTAGGAAAAGTACATTTTGCTTTTTTTAGGTTCTTCTTTTCAGTATATTCCCTTGTATTACTAGGCTTATGCCCTTTAGGCACCTAATAAATCCCTGTCTATATAACCAATGCCTTATTTTCTCTCTGCTTTTCTAAGCAAGACTAGAAGTACTGTAATTACTATATTGCTATGATTGAATGAACATGAGAGGAATTAATTGTGTATTACAGTGTTGCAGTTACAGCTTCACTGTGGCTTGCCTGTGCTGAAACCTCAAACCCAGCTTTTGAACATTTCTAGGTCACGCTGGATTTGTGAAGCCTACAGCATGATTCTTAGTTAAAATGTATAGATAATTTAGAAATCCCTATAACTTTGTATGTTTAGCCTAGTAATTGGGCCTACCTCTGATTCAGTCGTAGATGTATTCAAAAGATATTAAAGCCAAAAAAATAATTATGAAAGCAGTAGAATCTACTATGATAGAGTAGATCTAAAAGTGTTCCCTAGCTATATGTGAAATTGGTTCTCCAGTTCTCTGTTTCTGACTCTCTAGAGACCGACTGTGTAACCTTATTTATTGAGGTCCCTGGGACTCCCAGTCTTACAAGTTAAAAATAATTCTCTACTCTTAGATTGGTAGCTCAACGGGGAGAATTTTTTTAATAGAATTTGAAATTATAGAGAGCTTCACGTTCTACCCAGTTATTCTGAGTATTGTATATTTGCATTGGATTTTTTTTTTAATGTTAAAGTGAAAAGATAAAATCTTTCTCTATTCGTCCTTCGCCTCACCAGTTTAAGGTATTTGAATAATTTGAATTTATTTTATTTTTCTTCCCATTATAGTTATGTGATTTCAGGAGATGGAAATGGAAAATTGAACATTTGGGACTGGAAGACCACAAAACTCTACAGTCGGTTTAAAGCTCATGATAAAGTGTGTATAGGTGCAGTGTGGCATCCTCATGAAACATCTAAGGTCATAACATGTGGTTGGGATGGTCTCATTAAATTGTGGGATTAATGAGGTTAATCCTTAAACTATCTAGGATCATTTTTGATCCATTGTCATATTTAACTAAATTATTAAATGTATCAGATGATAACTTGATTTACAGATGTTTTCCTTACATGCCTGATGACATTAACCCATTGTTTAAAAAAAAAACAACTCTAAATTTGACACAATTTCATTTGCAACTTGATTTTGTTCTTCATAAATGTTATTTATATAGAAAATGGCTATTGACTTTCTATTTGACAAGTAGTTATAATTGGCAGGCAGTTTGAGTTTATACTCATGACATACTGAAAGCATCCCTTTGGGGTCAGGAAAGAATCCCTAGTGGATTTGGGATTCTAGAGGAGGTGATGTAATTAATTATTCAGAAAAATACCATATATTTACCTCTTCAACCAAAAGGGCGATAAAGAATAGGGATAAGGTAATGTAAATTTTGAAGAAGGATAAAACCACCCACAGTTACTTTCCCCATTATTTTCATAGGGTCAAGTTCTGATCTTTTGGCTTCATGAGTTCCACTCCCTCTGATGACATATGTTGTATATTTTTAGTTGTAAAGCAGTAATCTTTAACTGCGGCATTCCTCTAATTATAAACAATGTAAAATAAAAATCAGTCCAGAGTTCTTTCATTGACTTAAGTCCTGATCAGTATAGACAGGACTATATATATTTAATCAGAGAATTACATTATATCTGAAGATGGAACTCAGGAGGATGCACCAAGACTTTGAATTTTATTTGTATTCACTGTCAGTAAAGACCTGGCTACACTTTCGGAAATCAGGATCTCCAAGGTCATTGCTTCTTGATGTAATTACTGAAATCCTCCTCATAGGAGATAAGGTATGAGGGGTAGAGTCCAAGATGTCAACATGTAATTTCTTTGAAGTCCTATGTCTTATCTTTAAAATTACTCTGATTTTACCTGTGAATATATACAACAGGACTTTTTAAGATTAAAAAAATTTTAAACCTCTTTATGTGTCTGGAAAAAAAAAAAAGAAAATCACACTCCAGGAAGATGGCTAAGGTTCCCCAGTTTGAGAAGTAGTGACCATGGTGAAAAATAGTTTTGAAAACATCAGATTATAAAATCAAGATAGGCCAGGTGCAGTGGCTCATGCCTGTAATCCCAGCACTTCGGGAGGCTGAGGCAGGCGAATCACCTGAGGTCAGGAGTTCAAGACCAGCCTGGCCAACACAGCAAAACCTGTCTCTACGAAAAATATAAAAATTAACCAGGCGTGGTAGCAGGCGCCTGCCTGTAATCTCAGCTACTCGGGAGGCTGATGCAGGAAGAATCCTTGAACCCAGGAGGCAGAGGTTGCAGTGAGCCAAGATCATGCCACTGCACTCCAGCCTGAGTGACAGAGCAAGACGCTGTCTCAAAAAATAAAATAAAATCAAGACAGCCTCTTGAATGTAGTAGCTCATAGCACTTTAATTTGGTAAGCCATTTTTCCTATTTCATTATAAGCCTACATTAGATGTTTGAATATGGCTTGAAATATTTCACTACCATGCTGAAAAAGTTTGGTTGATAGCTGCTTGGGGTGCTAACTGGAAGATCAAAATCATGTCTCTTGCTGATAGCCTAAGAGCATTAAGCTCTGAGTCCTGTGCGGTCATAGCAGTGTATGCTCCTTGCCCTTAGGGAGCATCCATTTCTAGAAATTTAGATTTTAAAAGGCCTGGGATATATGACCAGGCTCTGTAGCCACATATAAATAAATTTTATAGAAAAAGAATAAAAGCAGAGATGGATGTTTTAACACAGAGGCACCCAAAGAAATACAAACACTGCCTAGCTGCCGCCAATTCTGTAACTGCCCAGAAGGGTGACAGATTTCTGAAGGGGAAAGGATTCAGATATGACCTTTTCTTTAGTCCCAACCAGTAGTTTTAACAAATGTGAATTATTGAAATGTGATGGGACAGAAAGAATCATACATTTAAACTGTCTTGTTCAGTACACCGGTATTGTACGTTACAAATCATCATTTCTAAATCTGAATTTATTTTGTTGTGTTTTTGACTGTTTCTAAAGTAAGTGTATATAAAAGTTGTCTCTTTTTTAAAAAGATCGTATTTTTAAATAAAGCATTTTTTTGTAGAAAGTGCTATCGAAATGTTCATCTTATTCATCTTTAGTCTCCTTTAAGTCTTAAGTGTGTTGAGACACTAGATTAAAGCCATTTGAGAAATGATGCTTTAGAGGTGGATGTGGTTTATTCAGGGATATCAATGGGTTTATTCTAATTAAATAATAAAGTACGTGGCGGTACCCTCAGAGCACATTAAATTTAGCACATGCCGTATTTATTCATCTAGTGGTGGCACTAAGTCATGATTACACAACATTTTAGAGTACATAAGTGAGTGGGGTTATATTCCAGCATAAAAAGTCTCACGATCTCATTGTTACTGGACTTAGGTAGTTACTATCTGGCTCCTTTTCCTTCTTGCAGCCTTTTTGTCATAACCAGGACAGATTTCCTTCCTAAAAGTTAGAATAAAAAGAGATGCTTTAGTGAAAGATTTTCTAGAATGAATATTTAAATATTGAGGCACAAGCTGGAAATATTTTGTCCTAAATAAGGAGCAAAATTAAGATAAACAGGGAGTAGTGTCACACAGTCACATTTCTAAGTAGTTCTTGAGACTACGCTATGGGCTGGCTGGTATCCTTGGTGTATTATAAAATACCTGTAAGAAGACACTGACTTTGAAATAGCAAACCCTTAGATGGCAATCATAAACATCACAACACTTGGAACAATTATAGAGACGTTCCTTGAAGATCATTGTTTCTCAGGGCATGGACTGAGAACCGTCTGCATCTGAATTACCTAGGGGTTGTATTGCTTACTGAGATGTGGCATTCAGAAGAAAGTAAGGATTATCTGGGGGAGCCATGATGAATTCAGGTATGTGAAGGGGTAAAAAGTGGCATCCAGGTCATAGTATCCATCAGCAGAATTAAATGTGGGTTTCAAAGTGAGACCTGGGGAATACTGATTCCATGTATCATTACAGATTCATATTTTTCACATTCTGACATTTGTGAATAGGGCTATAGTTAAAATAAATGAATGTCATAGTTTAATGGGCAGCATTCAATTCTTTCTTAGTGTATCATAAAATAATTAATGAAATACAGTAAAAATAAGTCAAGCTACTAAGGGCCTGAGAAGAAGAAAAGATCCAGTGGAAGGAAAGTGTCTATTGTAGCACTGGGCTCAAAATTCCTGTTATGAAATGTGTCTTTGATCACTGAGTAAAGTGAATGAACTAACTAAAGATTGCAATTAAAAATGTATATTAATATACATATGTAGACACACAAATATATATATATATCTAATCACTGGAAAGTTTTTTTAAAATGTAGAATTCTTAACAATTCAGACCTCCAAATCAAAGTCAGCACTTTTAGCAAGATCCCCAAATGAGAACCACTGAGGTAGAGTCCCGAATTTATTTTGGGTATTTGGGAAACTAGACTATTTGGGACATGTAAAGTCAAAGAGAAATTTAGCTGGTCAAAAATACGTACTGTACACACGTGTATGTACACGTATATGTGTATATAATGTATGCATATAACATATATGTACACATTCCATATTCATAGTCACTGTAACAATTGTGGAAACAGCTTTCTCAACTTAATTGCAATTTTATCTGGAACTTAAAAGAAGTCACAGACTTGCAGCCAGAGCCCTTATAGTGACTTTATTTTTAGTGACAGCAAGTGAAAGTGAAACTCTTGATTCTACAGCTTCTTATATCTGCAATAGCTGTCTTCAGATGAGTTTCTTTTATTCAATTCCCCACTCTCCAGCCTCCAGCGTTTTAGATCTGGAGGAGCAACTCAGATCTCCTTTTTTATTTGGTCTAATCAGTCTGTCCAATAGGTACATGTCAGTCATATATGTGATTTTAAATTTTCTAATAGCCAGGGTTAAAAAGGGACTTAATAATATATTTTATTTAACATATCCAAAATTTTATCTTAAGATGTACTCAATTGTTTAAAAAGTTAATCTTTTTTTTCTAAGAACTGTGTCATTAGGCAATGTCGTTATGCAAACATCATCGAGTTACATATGTAACTCTACGATGTTCTACTGTATTAGAACAAATAAAAAAAGGAGATCTGAGTTGCTCCCCCAGATCTACAACACTGGAGGCTGGAGAGTGGGGAATCAAATAAAAGAAACTCATCTGAAGACAGCTATTGCAGATATGAGAAGCTGTAGAATCAAGAGTTTCACTTTCACTTACTGTCACTAAAAAGTCACTCAAAGGGCTGTAACTGCAAGTCTGTGACTTCTTTTAAGTTCCAGATAAAATTGCAATTAAGTTGAGAAAGTTGTTTCCACAATCATTAAGGTGACTATGAATATGGAATATGTACGTATATGCTATGTGCATACATTATATACACATACACATGTACATACATGTGTATACAGTATTTTTGACCAGCTAAATTATATATGTAATTTACATATGTAACTCCACGATGTTTGTGTATATAACAAATGTAGGTGGTATAGCCTACTCCATTATGTAGTTCCATTATAATCTCAAGGGACCACCATCATATATGTAGTCTGTCACTGACTGAAAGGTTATTATGTGGTATGTGCCTATAGATGATTTTTAATTTACATTAATTAAAAGTAAGTTTAATTTAAAGTTTATCAGTTAACTACAGTTTAGGTGCTCAGTAGCAACGTGTCTATAGGCTACCATGTTGCACAGTACAATACTAGTACTACTTTCTACATAAGAGTGGCTCAAATATTCAGTGTACTGCCTCATCTTCTGAAAAACATTCTAAGATTCAATCTGATCATAAAATATCTCGTAAAAAATACAAATGCTCATTTTTTTCTGTGCCACATTTTGGGTAATTTCCTCAGGTTTGTTTTCCAGTTCATTGTAAAGTCTCTTTAGCTGTGTCCAGTGTGCTGCTGTTCCATTAAACTTCTTGTTTCCGTGGCTTTCTCTCATTTCTGGAAGCTTTATTTGTACTTTTTTTATATTTACCTGTTCTTTTTCACAATGTCGTATTTTCTTATGGCTCCTATATAGTCCTTCGTGCCATTAATTATGATAAATCATGTATATTATACTTAAGATTGTTCTGTTATCTCAAGTTCTTGGGCCGAAAATCACGTGGTTTATTGTGTCTGGTAACTCTACCTCATGGGATACTGTTTATTTCCTTGTCAGTTTTAATATTTAATATGGGTCTTGTTTTTCTAAGGAAATCCTCTGTAGCCTGGATTGGTGAAAAGTCCTTTCAGAGTGGTTTTGCATCTGCTTCTGCCGTATACCCCTGAGGTATCACCCCTAGAACCTGTCTAATATCTAACTTTTAAGTTCAAGGGGACATGTACAGGATGTTCAGATTTGTTACATAGATAAATGTGTGCCATGGTGGTTTGCTGCAAAGATCATCCCCTTACCCAGATATTAAGCCCAGCATCCATTATTCTTCCTGGTCCTCTTCCTCCTCTCACCTCCCACCCTCCAACAGGCCCCAGCATGTGTTGTTCCCGCATGTGTCCATATATTTTCATCATTTAGCTTCCACTTAGAAGTGAGAACATATGGTGTTTGGTTTCCTATTCCTGTGTTAGTTTGCTAAGGATAATGGCCTCCAACTCTGTCCGTGTTCCTACAGAGGACATGATCTGATTACTTTTTATGGCTGTATAGTATTCCATATGTATATTTACCACATTGTCTTAATCCAGTCCATCATTGATGGGCATTTAGCTCGATTCCATGTCTTTGCCGTTGTGAATAGTACTGCAGTGAACATACATGTGCATGTGTCTTTATAACAGAAATATTTATATTTCTTTGGGTATATACCCAGTAATGGAATTGCTGGGTTGAATGGTATTTCTGCCTCTAGATCTTTGAGGAAGTGCCACACTGTCTTCGATAGTGGTTGAACTAATTTACATTTTTGTTTTTTGACTTATTAATAGTAGCCATTCTGACAGGTGTGAGATGGTATCT